AATCTCTCAACGTATAATCTCATATCTAATCATTTCTCCTTCCAAGTGAAATGAACAACCAGGTGCACAGCTCAGATGTCTGCCCACAAAGATTTCCCTTCACCACTATCCTTTAGAGATGTAGAAAGGGGCCCAATAAGGCCTTTTACTGTAGCTACCCACTTTCAAGTGATGCTTTCACATCATGCAGAATCCCCTGTAAACCAGGCCCAAGTCTTCTCTTCCTCTGTCAGTGAATGTAGAGAACTCCTCATGAAATTACAGGTACAGAATGGGAGAGAGAAGGCAGGATAGCAGCAGTGGAGACCGTGAGCATTCGGGCCACTTCATGTAACTTACTTGTGCCTGCAGGGCCTGCTCAGGACCAGCCAGACATACACCAGTTTTATTGGATGATGCAGTGCTGCTATGCCCACCCAACTTTATGGCTTGGTGGGTCAGACAGCACCCAGCTCATGATGTGCATCTCAGGTTCCATGGCAACTTGCAACTTGGTGCCTCTGATCAAGCATTTGGTCTCTAGTAAGGCCCTGTAGCAGGCCAAGAGCCATTTCTCAAAAGGAGAGAAAGAAAGAGATATTATCCACAGAGGAAGACATGGAAAGTATTTGTTCCAAATCCCCAGGGCCTGTGCTGTGCTTCACCCATGGACTCCAAACTGTACCTTTAACTGCCACTCACACTTTAAGCACTGTTCAGTTCAGAGGCAGTGTCCAGTAGTCCCCAAAAATGTGTGATTATTTCTTTTTCCCCAAAGCACTGCCACTCTGATAAAAGTCTGTGAGTGCCTTTGGGAAAGCTGAGAAAAAGATGAACAGTATGAATTTTGGCAGTATACCAGGCATTCCCTCAGAAGGAAGGGACTGGGGTCTGTAAATTGGCTTAGATCTGAGAACTGATTGAGGATCAGTGACTTGCTGTTTATATCATTCAGGTAATATTTCTGTTCACTTGACCCAGAGCTTTCCTGCTTATACAGAACAAGTAAGAATTTAGTAGGCTTCTTATCTATTTTACTTCAAGGAACATCATAATCAACTATACAATGCCACATATCTCTGTGACTCAAACTATTTTGGTTGTTTCTTTGACTCTGCTCTCCCTTATAGCAAACATGCCCACTTTGCCTTTGATGGTCAAGTGCTGCCTTTGGTCTGAAATGCCCCTGCTAATCTTAGATCTAATTGCTGTCATTATATTCTCATTTCCCAAATGAGTCACTAAAGTTCCCCCGTAAGATCTTGCCTGTGGAGAAAGATGGATCACAAACTCTTCAAATGCATGTGGTTGTTTAAAGTCATCCAGAAACAGTAGTGCTGGAGTGGAGAAATGAGACTGGGAAGAAGAAAAAGCCACTAGAGAAAGATTTGCCAAACTCTTCTGGGCAACTAGAGCTTAATCTCACTGGGGAACTCTGAGAAACAGTGCTGAATGGGTTCCTCAAGTATATCACTCCTAAGGGATGAAGGCACTGCAATATATTATATACCAACCCTCAGTAATCCCTTGAGTGTTTCTTTTTAGCAAGTGTTAATTCTTTGGCATTCCCACCTTTCCATGTGCACCAGCAGAGATGGCTCTGGTGGTCAGAAAAAATCTTTTGGGAAAAGAGATGCAGAGACTAATATTCGTTACTCAGGTTTCCATGCTCTGAAATGGTCAAGTCTGGGAAGCATGGAAGAGCACTGACAGCATTTTCTACAATGAAACAAGGAACTTGGACTTTATTCAGTTAGATATTGGGGTGTCATCAACAGCTCTCAGAATGTAAGATAGAAAGGAAATAAAACATGACCTTGAACTCCATGGGTGTTGAAGAAGAAAATTGCACTAAGACCTGTCCACTTGACAAGCCCTTTCTCTCACCCTTTACATATGACCATTCATATAGTTCTTTTTCTACTTCATAAATATTTTTCAGCTTTGTTTCTACTCACATTGTTTGGATGCTGAAATCATGATCTCACCTAGATATATTACATTAGTTTCACAATTGTCATTGGAAGTTCATATGCCTCCCTGTTATCATTGTCCTAATAAATTTAACTCTCAACTTCACCAACACCTGCATTTTAAATTTCAAATATTGTCTGAGTCCATTTCAGGACCTTCATAATTTCAGTCCACACTTCTTTTTCCTTGCCATACCAGTCACACTTACCAACTTCACATGGCTTCCTCATTCTAACCCCACTGAACCTCTCTTTATTTTTCTATCACTGAATGGCCATTTGTGCCATGGTAATTTTGTACACGTTTTTTTCATTTTCTGGAAAAGCCAGGTCTCCAGTTTTCTAAGTACTTGTCCCTTCAGGAACTCACAACTCCCATATATGTCTCCCCAAATTCTAGCATTATGGAAATTATTTTCTTCATTCAATAAACTGATTAATGCAGAAGGCAAGAAAAAATGGCAGGTTTAAAGAGAGAGTTGTGTCTAGATTTAATCCTGTTGTTCCCTAAATGACACTGTGTCACCCATACAGAAGGGATTAGCAAGAAACTGGAAAGAAATCTGGATACCAGGAGGAAAATGAGGTCTGGAGTATCATGTGCCTGTTTGAATTTGATTCTGCAAAGAGAAAAATGTGATTTAAATCACAAAGCAGAGAAGTCTTCTTTTTCTTTGCTCCTCCAATATTGTTCCATTTGGAAAACAAAGGATTACGTGCAAGAACACGTGAAAACAAATATGGTGGGAAAGGACAAACTATTGTAGGATATCTTTGAAGTATAATAATTAGGAAACAAATAGATAACTGGAAATTTAAACTAAAGAAAGAATTCTCACCTGTCCCTTTGAAATCTTTCATATTCAAGTGGGAACAGTTTGCAAAACCAGTAGCAATAAAGATTCTATCTTCTTTCTTTCCTCACTTTACATGAATCATGTTTCCAAAGCTGTTCTGACCCATAAATTATAGGTCAAATCATTGGTGGGTAAACTAAGAATTCATATTTCTGTAACAAAGGAAGAGTGATAACTAGCATGGCCTTATCATAGATCAAAATAACTATATTAGGCAACCTTAAAATAAAGAGCACTATTGATCAGTGAAATGGATAACTGAATATCTATATTTCATGGTAAAAAATGAGATTCAACATTTATCCTTTGAGGAAACCTGTTTGATTTTATGTCTTATCTCATAGAAGTAGCCTTCCTTCAACAACCTTCCATCAGCAACACAGCCACAACTAAACTTCATGGTGACCAAACCACACAACAATTTTCTTATGTTCTTTTTTGACATTTCAGAAACAGAATCCTTGCCCAGTGATAACGTTTGTCAGTTTCCTCTATCTCACTTGGATGTACCCATATTTCAAGTAAATAAACTACTTCTCAGGGTCACAGTGTTCTGGTATATGAATACACTGAACCAACCTTCTGATTTCCAGGCAAATATAAATACCAATGCATTTTTTCTTGTTGTTATGGCCAATGAAAACTCTAGTGTTTGAAGACTACCTAGGCCACAGATCCTAACATAAAAAGATTTCTGGTAACCAATGAGGCCTACTGTGAGAAGAACAATAAATTAAGCCTAACCAAGAGTAATGTGAGTCGCGTAAGAATGACTATACAGAAGTGGGTTTCTCCACTGGAAAGACATATGGGAATCAGGGATGGAAGCAGGAGGTACCTCTGATGAAAAGAATGTGGGACTCTTCAGTTCACTAATAACTGTGAGATGCCATAAAGATGCTTTAATAATAAAGAGAACCATCCCCTGTTTCCCCTGAAGCTATAAGGACTGGTAATATGGCTTCAATTTCAAAGCTCACACACAATTCTTTAGAAATCCAAGGAGGAAATGTGCTAACCTCAGGTCAAGGGGCTAAGGATGCATTTTCAGTATCAGGGATAAATGTTGGAAACTACTCTATCACATAAAGATCATGAAACCATTAAAGATATGCCTGCTTGAATGCATTTCCATCTCTTCACATAAAAATTTCCACATGGCATATATTAGTCAGTTGGTCTATCAATTCCAAGTTTTCCACCAAAGATGACCTTTTCTCACCATTTTTTTAAATAAAGGGAAATAACTTTTTAAAAAATGTGAATGTCTGCACAATTGTTGGCTCTAAAGAGCTCTTTTAGAGATGTCAAAGATTATAATATTGAGTACTGAGCAACTAAGGTGAACACTTAATGGAGTTTTCATACCCTCACAGAAATAGGTAGTAAACAATTTGTAGGACTGTTAGATATTCAGTATATAGAAGTAGCTATTCTGTTTGCTACTAATTTGAAGTTCTTCATCCATCAGTACCAAAAGTAATGGTATTGGTGATCAAAAATGTAATGAAAAATTAGTTTACTGGTACTCTACTTTCATTACTTTTGAGTACTTACTCCAGTAAATCTTTTGTGATTTCCAGTCTGCATACACTCATAACCAGACTTGACCATTGCTCAAGTCTGAGCTGACCAGCTGATGTGCTAAACAGCCAATGACTTGTGTTGTTGCTGGAACTGAGCAGTTATTTGTCTGATGTCACTGGAAACTGAAGTAGAAGTTGAACAACTGTGTATATAAATGCAAACTCTGAGTTTTCTGTGGCAACCCATACACAGATTCCCCCATTAGTATGACATCTTTATTGCCTCACTCTGGACCATTTCAATATCAGTTCTGCTTTAGGTCAAGATGCTGTGTTGACACAGAAGCCCCCATCCCTTTATCTCACATTTGCTGAGTGCCCACCATGTCCTAGACATTTTGCTGGACTCACTGAGGTACAATGGTGCACTAAAAGAGACACATGCACTATACACTCAATCCTATATCATTTTTTCTCTTGTCATCCCTGTCTTTTGGTAATCCTCTGTTTCCTGGCAGAGGAGATGTCCTTCTCATTCAAACACACAACTCTGGTTTTCTTCAGTCATACACTGGTAAGGCTGTCCCTCTGTAGAACTAGTCCCTACTCAAGTGATGTGATCTCTAGTACTATGAAAGTTTATGTCCATCTCTCCTTTGCTACAGGCCACACCCAGGAGACTGCCAATGGAGAGCCATGAAGACAGAGTTCTGAGGAAAAGCTGCTTTGCTGGCAGACATCAGAAGAAAGGGGAAATTTGTACTTAATTTAGTGCATTTGAATTTTTATACAAATAATTTAATTGTTAGCTTTGTGAATATTATAGAAGTTATGGCATCATTGAATTCAGGGTAGGAAAAGCTGCTACGAATCAACTTCTTTCAGTCCCTAACTTTTCCACACAAAGAATTCTGATACAAAGTGTTTAAGTGTTTGTTCTCACACTGTCTGCTTGCTTGGGAATTGAAAAAATTAGGGAAAAGAGCAGAGATAAAAATCTAAGCATAACTCATATCTAGAATCTAAATTACTATTATAAAAGTACAAGTTTAATTAGATGATAAATTGTTATTATTCTAAAGGGTCAAGCTTCCACAGATTCTTTCAATTAGTACAATTTAAAAAATAACTATAATTTCTTCTTTAAAATACAAAAATTAATGAAAATACTAATTCTCTGGGAACCAAGGGTAAAAGAGTCTAGAGCACAATCACACATAAGCATGTGTAGTTAATGTATTTTTAGCATCTATAAGGAAGTAAGTTTTTTTCCTTGGACAAAAGAGTCTGTATGATATAATCTGTTTCCACTTTTTGAATTAAAATATGTTGGGGTTTTTTTAACACTTTTACCTTTCTATTTCTAAAATTGTCCAAAGTCAATGTAATTTTTGTAAAATGTCCTAGTGGCTCAAAATCATTTGACTGCCAATGTCTAATTCTAAGCCTGATGTTCTGGAGAAATGTGTGGCCTAAATCATGCCAGAATGTCTTGTTTTATGTTTAAATGGTCACAGATTTAATAATGGAGTGCAAAAGAAAAAAAGGATTGCACTTAACTACATGTTTTACTTTTCAAGCACTCATCCAAGCATGCCCAAACACAGGAGAATGCCATGCACTTTAAATCCCTGAGCATCATGGAAAAGGCCCACTCTGAACTCTGTATGCATTAACAAATTATGTCCCATTAGGTCAATGCAAAAATTAATTGTGGGATTACTCTCAAATCCATATTGTTTCCTGGCTCTGTTGTGGACCACTCAATTAGACACCTCTCAAGGCCTTTGAGCTGGACTAAACACAGCTAATTGTTCCATTTCTGCATGGAGTGATTCATCTCCCAGATGTCTCAGACCTTTCAGCAGCTCTGCTCCACCAATATCTCGACATATGAAAATAGAGTCATTTGGGATCCAGGCAGAGGGGAGAGATTGGGAAGCAAATAGAGCAGGGTATTCTTTACCCCTGCCCTTTGGTATGATTAATCTTCAGTGAGAAAAGGACTCCTGAATCATTCTCTTGACAGGACAGCCCCTCCTGTCCTATCTGACTTCCCACGTGAGGAGAGATGGATGAATGCTTCCTTTTTTCTCTTCCTCCAGGTGCAGCCCTATTCACACTCGGGCCTGACAGCACATAATAGAACAGCTTCTACTTGCCCATTGCCTCAGCTCTGTATGCTTTTCCTCTCCACTGTTCCTCATTTGTTCACATCCCAGTGACAGAGCCAGCCAAATTGAAAATGCATGAAAACCCAAAGATACTCACTTGTTTCCTTGGATCACTAGAGTAAGTGTGTGTGTGTATTTTCTTATAGCAAACACAGCTTCAGAATAAATCTATAGAGAAAAGTTCTTTCAACTCTGAGCTATTGGGTTAGCTTTAAGTTTTTAATGTGACTGAATTTTTGCCTTGTGTTTTCATTTTTACTTCAACTTTCTTCTTTACCTATGGCAAATAATGTTATTAATCCATGATAATAACTGAATATATAATAATAAGTGTTCTAGAATAGAGGTGTCCAACCTGCTTTCTGTGTGGTTTCAACCATATTGAAAAGAGCTTATAACTTATCACTATCAAATTTATTTTTTATGTTTAACATAGAATAACAAAAAAGCTTCTGATTTAAAGTGGGTTAAGAAATTGTTACTTAAAATGATGTCTTAACTTTATATGGATCCATATCTTGAGTTAATTTAGGCCCTACCAAAAATAATTAAGCTAAAGATAAGTAGATTGAGTTCTCTAAAAAAAAAGACATTGAGACTAGGGTGTGAATGTACATAGTTTATTTGGGTGGTGATCACAGAAAGTGAGTTTGAAATGACTCATGGAAGGGAAAGCAACCTATAAAGGGAACATTATCAAGCAATTTACCACTGCACAAAGTTTGATCTCAATGGGGAATTCTGGGAGACCGTGTAAACCTATAACTCAAGACTTATCCCATTTACCAAACAAAGGTGCTAGAGTACATGGAGCAGATGGATTCACTATCTTTAATTAGTCTGTGGTCAAAGGCTGCTTCCAAAAGATGTAGTTAAACCTGTGCACCCAGGCAGAGAAGACTTTATCATCAAGTAGTCTTCAGGCAAGTAGATGGAGATGAAGCTGTTGAAGGGCCACTGGGGAGCACAAAGATGGCAGGGCATCTGCAGTGTCTGCGCCATCATTTTTACCTTCTGAAACTGGTAGGAATGATCATGGCTTTAAGCTAATTATTGAAACCTCACACTGCTGTAGGATATATATGGAAACCAATGACTTTAAACTTTCAACAAAAGGTCACCCTTGACTCCTCATTTTGTTTCATCAACTTCTCTGACTTTCTCTGCCCCCTCCTTAACTAGATCAACAACATGGCTAATTAGTCTGGGGTCACAACTGTAGGAGAACCTGTTTATTTGTTTACTTTTGCAAGTGTGGTACAATGACACTCTCCCCTGAACTGTTTGTTCTAACTTGATACTCCAACATCCTTGAATGTTTTAGTGCATTTTATACAAACAAGAACATTCTCTTACACAATCACAATACATCTATCAAAATCAGGAAATTAACATTAATGCATTTCTATAATTTAACCCTCAAACCCTATTCAAGTTTCACCAATTGCTTCAACAATAACCTTTACAGTAAAAGGAGTCATTTTAGAATCACATGACTTCACAATGTACAGTATATAAAATCCTTATGTTGTATACTTAAACATATATAGTTTTATTTATCAATTATTCCTCAAGAATTGGGAAAAATAAAACATTCTAGTAGATTAACTAAAAAGAAATCATGTTTCATTACGGTTGCCATGTCTCTTTAGTCTTTCAATCTGTACAAGTTCCTTGGTCATTTCTTAACTTTTTTAAACCTTGAACATTTTGAAAATTACATGTCATTATTTTATACAATGCCTCACAATTTGAATTTAGGTTTATTTTATTTCTTCATGATTAAGCCATATATCACTGGAAGAAATATCACAGAACAATTACTGTGCTCTCATTGTTTCATAAACATGACACATGATTTTGGTGTATCCCACTACTTGTGATCACTTGGTTGAAGTGGTGTCTGCCACCATCCTCCAATGTAAAGTTACCAACTTCATATTTGTAATTTAGAAATAGTTTGAGGAGAGATACTTTGAACCATGTAAATATCCCACTAGTCATCAAACTTTCAATTCTTTGTTGATTTATGCACTTATGTATCAGAATATTCTTGTGGATTTTTATTTTAGTCACTGACTCATAATTTTTACTACCCTATATATTCTGTTGTTTAAATTATCACATTTTTGGCCAATAGGAGCCTGTTATGGAAAGTTTATCTTTTTGACATAATCTCATCACCTTTGATCATATCCTAGGAAGACTCTTAACATTGAGCAGCCCAATCAACTACAAGGTAATTGATGAGGCCCAACAAATGATATTCCACTAAGGGAAAGCAAAAGAATGGTACACAACTAATCTCCATTACCACAAAGAAAAGACCAGAGAATAAGGGAAAACTCAAATCCATGGCATGAGAGGTTTGCTAAGACATAAGGAAGCTTCTATTTGAAGTAGTAATATATATTAGCATTGAAATATCCCACATTGAAAATCTTGAAGTAGTGAATTGATTCTAATCTTTCTCAAATTATTAGAAGTAGAATCTTTTTCGACTATTTTGGATCAAGGATCCTAAGAGGTTATAGTTATAGCTAGAAAACTGGTTTGGACTACAAAAGAATATTTTTTCATAACACAAATAATTTTGGAAGAATAAAAATAATCAATAAGTTAACTGAATCAGCACATATTTCTTCAAAACATTTTGTCAGGAAGAGGATCTGATGGTGTTTACATTGGCAGAACCAGGGATGCCAACATTCACCCATGCCAATCATCTCTTTTCCTTGAGATCATGAAGTCACCAAGACACAGACACACACTTCGGTCAACAGCCAATGGAAAATAAGAATACACTTTGATCAAGTCAATGCCTACAACCTACCAGCAAAAAAGTTTGAGGAAACTGAGTGTTTCACCTCCCACCTCTGATCCTAAATCTTAAGAATTACCAGCTGGTCACAATGGAGCAAGCTACATGAAACAATGGGAGGCATATTGTGGTTATAAAGAGAGTAAAGAAAGAAAGATGCCTGGTTTTCAAGAGTTATAGCTTCTTAGCATGAAGTGAATGAAGAAGTAAACAGAGCTCCTATTTAAACCACGGTCACACTGCCACTTGTAACTCTGGTCCCATAAATGGCCTGAACTCAGCATCATGATTAGCAAATTGTTTAATGTTTTTGTGAAGAGTTGGTGCATAGTACTAAACTCAGAGGTGAGCAGAAAGTGTTCACCTACATATTCATGGTTCTGGGGCCTAAGGCGTTTGTTGGCATAACTCATTTGAAGATCCTGGCTTCAACGGTGAAGAAATACATATATTTTAACAAATAAAACACAAGATTAAAAAGTGTAAAATGCTATGTAATAGTACAGAAAAATAGACAAAAGATAATCTGTGAATAGGTTTCCTTTAACAGCTATTTGAACTTAAAAAAATTTATAAATGAGATTTTTGCTATTGTTTTTCTTGTTGACCTACATACACTACATGCAGATTTGGGAGATTGTCTCAGGTCATTGCACAAAGGCCATTTCTAACCATGTGTTTAGGGTCATGAGTTCAGTTCACTC